CCTTCTCCTCAGGGCTGCTCTTAGTTCCTCCTCTGCCCAGCCTGTACTTGTGCTTGGGATTGCCCCAACCCGGGTGCAGGACCTTGTACTTGGCCTTGTTGAACTCCATGAGGTTGGCAGTGGCCCACCTCTCCAGCCTGTCCAGGTCCCTCTGGATGCCATCCCTTCCCTACAGCCTGTCCCGTCCCTCTGGATGCCATCCCTTCCCTCCAGCCTGTCCCCTCCCTCTGGGAGCCCTCCCTTCGATCCCACCTTCCATGTCACTAATGAAGATGTTAAACAGTACTGGTCCCAACACCGACCCCTGAGGAATGCTGCTCATTACTGGTCTCCGCTCAGACATAGAGCCATTGACCACCACTCTCTGAGTGTGGCCATCCAGCCAGTTCCTTATGCACAGCAGTCCATCCATCAAATCCATGCTTCTCCAGTTTAGAGACAAGGATGTCGTGCGGGACAGTGTCAAATATTTCTTCTCCTAATTCTGCCTGATCACATGCTGACTGTTTTCACTTCCAGACAGATTTTCTTGATAATGTGTCATCTGTGTTTGTGTGAAGAAGTGTAAAATGACTAATTCTTTCTACTATTTACATTCATAAAGTAACAATTCTAGTTTTGTTCTTGAAGCAACTGCTAAAAGCCCTTCCATGGAAACACTAGAATGAGACAATTAAATCATCAGTCCTACGTATTTATGTGTTAGCAATGTTATATCCTTTACCAATCAAACCAAAAGTACCTTGGCAAGATTGTCTTTCCTTTGAACTTAAAATTGCTTGCACTATTTTTATACCTGCCAAGGTTTGAAAGCTATAAACAGATTTAAACTCCCCACCTGGAGTACTGTATCCAGCTGTGGAACCCACAACATCGGAAGGATACAGACCGGTTGGAGCGAGTCCAGAGGAGGCCACGAAGATGCTCAGAGGGCTGGAGCACCTCTGCTCTGGGGACAGGCTGAGAGAGTTGGGCTTGGTTAGCCTGGAGAAGAGAAGGCTCTGGGGAGACCTTATAGCACCTTCCAGTACCTGAAGGGGCTACAAGGGGGCTGGGAGAGGACTTTTTACAAGGGCCTGTAGTGACAGGACAAGGGGGAACGGGTTTAAATTGAAAGTGGGGAGGGTTAGATTAGATATCAGGAAGAAGTTCTTCATGGAGAGGGACTGGAACAGGTTGCCCAGAGAAGCTGTGGATGCCCCATCCCTGGAAGTGTTCAAGGCCAGGCTGGATGAGGCTTTGAGCAACCTGGTCTAGTGGAAGGTGTCCCGGCCCATGGCAGGGGGGTTGGAACTAGATGGTCTGTAAGGTCCCTTCCAACCCAAACCATTCTATGATTCTGTGATTTGAGGGTGACATATCCTGGGTTTCTCCATTGTAAAGATCAGCAATAATTACTGAGTATCTAAAAATCCAGTCTGCAAGTCCTAGAAGGTGTTGGGATTTCTCCGAGGTGGTTCATGTGTTGCGGAAGTACCTCTGTTCAAGGTGGGACAAGCAGCCATTTTGTTGGGTATTGGATGTTGGGGTGGCGCTGGTGCATCTCCTGGGCTTATGACAAGTTAGCCGTTGAACCCTCTGATATTCAAAGCCCAGATATGCAGAAATAACTGTTATCAGGTGCTTCTGGTAGGCTGTGTGCTCGCAGGGGCATGAGGAAGCTACCAGGCTGAGGACTGAGGGAGCTTGGTTGATGCGTGGCAGGATGAGCGGCTTGCGACAGCCTGTGAGTTACGTCTGCCCCATGGAGAAGAGGAAGCCTGGCTGGCCAGGGAACAGTATTGCAGAGGAAAATCAAGATCCTGGGGTTTTGTTTTCTTTGCTGGGAAGGCAGAGTGGCTTGGTTCTGCTGGTTTTCCATGCTCTTCACTGCAACACTGCAGTAGTTCTCTTCATAAACACCACCACCACATATTCCAAGGGGTAGCGTATTTGTTAAGACCCCTGTTTGCTTGGGAAGTCTTTGCTTATGGGAAGCAGCAGGCCTGAAGATGTGGGAAGCGCTGGCAGACAAAGAGACAACCTGACATTGCCCCTCTGTGTGTCTGTGCTCCTTGCCCCTGACCATCAGTGATGGAGCTGGCGGGGTTCCTCATGGAGACCCTGCTGGCATCACTTACTTCCCTTTGCCCTCTGGCAGCTGAGTTGGATTGCAGCAAATTATTTTTCTGCTCCTGGAGAAACCCTCCTTTAGAAATACAGCTGTTAAAGAATCCAGTAAATTGCTGTCATAAGCACTTTCATTTCTTGGTTGCCTTTTATCTGGATGAGTTTTGCCTCTTTTCTTGGAATTTTAGTAGAGCATCAAGGATTTCTTTTGCATAGCTATGCAGCACAAATGCATATGGAGTAAATATATCTTGCATATACCATGGTTTCAGATATTCCAGTTCAAATACCTTTTGATTTAGCATTAAGAGGAAACTGATTGCTTTGTCAAATGGACAAGAATTGCTTATTTTCCTGGATAGTCTTCAACACTTGAGAAATTAACATCAGTTTCAGAATTAATGAAGGACAAAGAAATGGTATTTTCTGATTCAAAGAGTTAATTAGAAGTAAAAGCCTGCGGGTATCGGGTCATGGTCCCGTCTTCCCCTTCCCCATTCCAGGAGAATTAGAGGAGAATTTAATAATTGTTTTTAATTTTACAGGCAGCCAGCATCAAGCGTGAAATGACCTTCCCTGCATTTCAACAGGAGGATGTAAAAAGTGACATCAGTCAAAAACTGCCAGACCAACAGTTTCTCCTGTTCACCACAAAGGAGGAAGACTTAAAAACAGCAGAGACCAAAAAACCAAACAGAGCTCATGAGTACGAAAAGGAAAACACTCGTTCTGTTTGTCTTCTGGAACAGAAGCGCAAGGTTGTTTCTTCAAATATCGATGTGCCTCCAGCAAGGTAAGGAGTTGAGTCTTTTGTTGTAAGCTCTTTTTTTTTAAAAAAATGGGATGTTGGAGGCAAGTTTGATAAGTGGTAGTATGAACTCGTAAGACTAACATTCTTGTCCAGGCAGCCCAGAGTCAATCACAGCACCAGTACTTAAGAGATCTGCTAGAAAATTGAAAACACCAGTAGCAGAAACTGAGATGACTTTACAAAAAACAAAAACATGCTGTAACTGAGGTACTCCCAAAAGAGGAAGAGATTGTTGACCCAGCTTCACCCTAATAAGTAATCTTCTAAATTTGACATAGATTCACCTTACCTGCTAGCATTTTGTAATGTTTTTTAAATTACTTTCTACTGTCACACCTGCAGCCATTTATGGGAGTGTGCGGTGGCTTACTCTGCACAGTGAGGATGTAGTATCTTATGTTCTCTTATATTGCTGAATACAGCTGGGTCATAATGTAGACGATGAAATGAATTAGGGGGAAAAAGCGGTGAGGAAAGGCTAATGCAGGGAAATCAGACTGTAAAAAAGGGGGTTTGGCGACTTTGATAGTGCTTTTTAGTTTGTTATCCCTTGAGATTCTGTTGTGAATGCACATAAATGTATGTGTCTGCAGCATTCACATCTGGGCAGTTACACGTTAATGAAAATATAGGGAATTATTTTGAGAAAAAATATATTCTTTATCTGAAACTTGATGTATATCACAGCAAGAAATTCAAGGTTTATTTGTCTATTTTTTTTCCTTCCTACTATTTAAGTGAAATAATACTAAGAGAAGGAGCAACTGAGAATTTCGTACTGGCTAGTGATTAAAAGAGAAGAGGCTTGAAAATACAGAGTCTAGAACCTTGAGCTTTGGGGAAGGACTTCATTGCTTTGAGAGAGAAAGGGAATGACTCCACTGGAAAATGTCATACTGCATTACTGGATGTATTTATTTTATGCTGAACAAACTCACTTGTATCAATGGTGGAAAACTGTCAACAAATCAGGCATTCTGTGTTACAAGTGCTTTTTCTTTTTGTTGTTCATGATTTCGTGTTGGCATCAGTCTATCTGCAAGATTTTCTTCTTAACCTGCCTAGTAAATTCACTTGCACATAATATTCAGTGATATGCCTTCAGCGTTTGTAGTGCTACTTAAAAAATACGTAGTCAAACGGGATATTTCTTCTTGCTTCTTTTACTTGTTTACTTTCTAAAAACCAACATAAGCCAGCAGGTTCTGTCATGTTATCCAAAACAGAATGACTGTTGCTTTCTTCTGGTTCTTACAGATAACACTTTTAAAAACCAAAAAGTTCATGAGAATTTTGACAGGATTAATCAACTCTGTAATGGCTGACTCTCCTCATTCATTTTTATGTGTCTCAAAGCAAATAGGATTATCAGAAAATTGATGTCATCAGGGACCTCAGGAACTCACCCAGTCCAACTGCCTGCTCAACCCATAAGTTAGCATTTCCATTTTACATTTCGGGCAGGTAAAGTACAGTGTTTAAGTGCCTTTTTGTGTGGCTTCATGCAGATAATCCACTTGAAGTAGTCAAGCCCTCTTTGTGTAACTCCAAGATCATTCTTACTTGGAGGAATGGATATTTTTTCCCCAACGAGATGGAAAAGAGGATAAATAAACATCTTTAATGCTTTATTAAGACTAATTGACAGTGGTTGTGAGCATAGGATACTTATGATGATAGGAAATAGGTTTATTTGCAAAGGTGTCTTCTAAAATTGTTCTTTTGTTTCTGTATTTTGTTGGGAACAGATAAATGACCATATTACCTTGGTGCATGTTTTCAGACACGTGGGTTGAACTGCTTGATTAGCAGAAATGGAGGCTGAAGTTGAAAACAAACGTGGAGTCTAAATTCAATAGCATGATAAACATCTTGGTCAGTCTTGCTGCGGTTGTGCGCACGAGCTTAAGTTTCAGTTTTAATCTGAGCTGAATTACTGGGCCATTTGTCCGCAATGGACAGGAAGAGCGCTAAAAACTTCGCCCGGAGGTCTTCCTGAATATTTGTTATTGTAATGGGGGGAATGCCCAGTCTCTCTTCCTCTTCAGCACAGTTTGATCTCAAAGTCACATTCTCTGAGAAGCGACAGTCCAGGCATTTGATGTTCTCCTGCCTCTTTATAAACCCCTTCCAATCTTCTGTAGAGGACTGCGCCATTGGAATTGTGTGTTCCCCAGGGGTGAATTCTTTCTCCCTTTGCTTTCTGGCAGGACTTGCTGGGTCAACTGTCCTGTTCCTTTATGAGAACATCCATCCGCCTTCGCAGATGCGTTGCATCCAATTGTGGAAAGTCATCTTGAATCAATCAGATAATGTTTACAAAAGCGTGGGAGAAATAAGGGTTTTAATATGATCTTCAGCTTCTTATTGCTACATACACCCTCTTGACTTTCAGTAGACGTTCAGCTATTGTTTTGAAGTAGAAAAGTGCTATGGAAATGAAGCTTGTAATCTTAGAAATATGAAAATAGCTTAGCTCAGTCCTGGCATTTCAGGGGATTGGTACTCAGGTGTGCTGAAATTGCAGCAGGTGAAACTGTAGAGCAGGGACAGGCTGGTGGCCATCTCACGTGTGTGTGCAAGAGAAGGGGAGACTAACGGAAAACATAGACGCCTCAGAGTTTTGTTCTTCAGTGATACCTGGAGAGAAGGGGTAGATCCGTACTAATTAACAACCCAGCAGTTGCTCACTTGCCTGTAGCCTGGAAGGTGTGCATTTAGGTGGTTCTGTTGTTGCATTTGGAGCAAGGATGTGAACTGGTGTCTCTGGTGTACGAAGGAGGTATCTTAACCATCAAAGTCCTGACATGTCCAAGGCGCTTCATAGGGCAGCTCTTCAAAGTGATAGCGTCAGGCTAAATGTAGCAGATGTGAAATAAATACTTTATTACGTGCAGGATAATTTTAATACCAAAATTAAATTTTTAAGTTGATTATTTACATTGTTTTATTTCATCTTGTGTAAATACAGCAGACCTTTCTCTGAGTTACGTGCTGTATTGCAGGTGTCTTTTGGATTGAAATAGGAGGCGGTCATGGTGTGTTCTTACTGATTGTTTAGGAATGCAGAAATGAAATGAGAGGTTAGCAGCATTAAGTCTTTCCCTTTTGAGATTTTTTTTTTTTCATTTGGTCATTTTGAACAAAACTTACAAGATTTAAATAGTCCTCCTACTTCTGAAGCTGAGATGAACGTAAATGAAACTGTTCAGCTTGAGTAGATGAACTATAATAAGAAAATATGAATTCCTTACTTTCCCTTTAAAGTTCAAATTTATCAGCAGTTTTGACACATAAAGGACTGCTCTCTTGGAGAAAGGGGTCTGACCACTCGACGATGAACTGCAATTATCTCTGAGAAATGAGATGTTATCTGTACAGCAGAGGAGAATACACTTTAGGTTGACCTCCAGTTCAGACGTGAGGGATCAAACACAGCCCACAATCCCAAGATCTGAGTAGTAGAAGGTCATTTTCTTAAAAAAAATAAAAATAAAGAGTGGTGTCACTGAGGGGCTAAACGCCTTGCCGTGTGGGAAGGAGCAAATGCCGGTCTACCAGTGTTTTGGGCAGCTACGTCTGTAGAGGTCACATGCAATCGAAGATGATGTCCCCAGTAGGCAGCGGTGTAGAAGTTAACACAGACATCTTGCTCATTTGTATTTTCATGGTTTCTTGCCGAAATCCACACTTCCTCCAAATCAAGTCAACAAGAAAGATGAGAAAAAGCCTGGGCTGCGGTTACGGTGGTTGTGAGGGTGTGAGTCTTGGTGTAGGACCCCAGTGCAGGTCAGGCACACAGGGAATGGCTTCTGCCCCTCGGAGAATGGGGATAGAAGGGTGAGTGATGGAAAGCAAGGGATGAAGTTTCCTTTTTTGAGTAAAATGTGAGAATAAATGTCTGGAAATGGTGATGGGGTTAAAGGTCCTTTTTTAGACAGAAGTGTTTTGACCAGCTGTATCTGGAAACTCTTCAAAACTTGCCTACATTAGTGTCGCAAGAGGTGTCCTTTCTGCTGTCCCAGAAAGGAGTAACTAGAAACATCCAACAGGTTAAGAGAATTAAAGAAGGAACTAGGTAGGCATCTCCCCCACCCCTCTGATGAGTGAGAGTGTTTGAATAGTTTTGCTTTTGTTAAATTTTGCTCTATGACCTCAAAATACTGTGAAATTTGTATTAACCCCTTGCCACATCATTCTCCTTTTCCCCAGTCCTCCTGTACCCTATCTTCCCTGAAAAAAGAAAGAGATAAAAACTTTCTAACTGCCTAACTTTTTCTACATTAAATTTGTGCTCTTAAAGGACAAGCCAAAGCTTAACCTCAACTGCTTAAGCACTTCCTATAGTGTGAAAATAGCTGTTGTGCAATAAAACCTTCTGGTTCCTGTGCTTTTCTGGTTCACTGCTATTAAGCAGTCATGTTTGTCACTACATTAATATATTGGACTCGCCTGTCTTCTGTTTATATATATATAAGAAGTTGCTCAATTACTGCGAAGTTAATTTTTATTCTATAATTTAATAAAAGAATATGTGAAATTAAATGTCTCGAGGAATTCTCTCCCTTGTTGCCCCTTTAGGTCCTTGTAGAATAGCTGTAGAAACCTGGGGTAAAATGAATTGCAGCCGTGTTCTCTGACCATCAGTACAAAGCAGCGCTATGGGCAGTGCTTCATTTTCATCCTTTAAATGATTTTCTTGCCTGGTCTCTCCAGGAATATAGCTCTGGGCAGCCTTCTGATTACCGAGTATGTTGTTGATCTGTAAGGCCTGCTGGGCATGATTGATTATGCGCCATGCATTTCAGTGGAAACATTTGCATATTTTTGTAGCCAAAACTTTCCAGGAGCCTGACTCCAAAAGATCAAAAGCAGTATCTGCTGAACTATGATACCCTCTCTAGGAGCACTTCCCAGGCTACTTGCGGAGGGAAGAACTGGACGATCAAGTTGTGGTTTTCTGTGTACCTGGAGATGTTGTT